CGGAGGAGATATCGGTGAGATTTATTTGAATCACCCCCATTTAAATGGACTGATAAATGCAGTTCAGAAAGCTCCTCCACCTAAACTGACCATCAGCAACTCCTCTCCTCTTTTTCCCTCTTCACCCCACTTTTTTTAAGGAGGACATCCTAGAAAGCAAGTTGTGCTTGGAATAGGAAATTTAACTGTCAGCCCTGTTCCGTTTCATGGTGCATCTTCGTCTTTCCAGCTGCTAACACACTGGAAGAACATAGATTTTCATGTCTGCTGCTTTCACGGACATCTTTACATTTTAAAAAAACAAAAGATCACCTCTACTGATACCCAACAGGACAATGTGCAATGAAGTTTGAATCCCCCTACAGCACAAAAAGCTTCATTCACAGCAATTTGGTATAAAAGTATAAGGGTTTCAGTGAGCAAGCCTCAAACTTCCCAAGAAATTTGAACTTTCTGTAAGAAACTCCCCAAAGCCAAGGAAACGTGCCCTCCTATTCAGATTTCAACTCTGCCTTTAAAGAGGTTCCAGGAAGAGTGATTCAGGACAGCTGGCAAAAAAAAAAAAAAAAAAAAAAAAAAAAAAAAAAAAAAGTGTATTTCTAGGAAAAGTATTGGACTATCAGCGCAGCGATGGTGAAATGGCACAGAGGAATGCAAATCATATGTTTATTCCCGAGTAAAAATAGAAGTCCTACAGCCACTCTACAGCACCACTCTTCAAGCTATGCTGATAGAGTTAAGATATAAAATTTCTCCATGATTCTTCTTCCTTTTAATCTCCGGCAAAGAGGATATACATGTATATTTATATTTTTAAAAATATTTCATTACAAGACGTTTTCTCTAAAACATATTTGTCAAGGATCCATGAATACCCAATTCACTGGCAAGTGGTGCACGTTACTCTGTCAAAGTGCCCAGCAATGCCAATCTGTCAGTTCAAAGCAGAAACAGAATATTTTAGCTTTTAGTTACAATAAGCTGAGTTGATAGACGTTGTAACAGGGCAGGTAAGAGCGAGTCTTTAAATCTGAATTGACATTGATTTACATAGTTTCATTTCTTTGAATCAAATCTGAGAGAGAGAGAGTTTCAAACTGCTTCACTTTTTGATATTACAATTACACATTTCTTAAACACAGAAGAGTTTGCGTTTAAAAAAGAAAATAAAAGACTCAAGTGCCTACAGAGATAAGATAAAAAGAGAAAGTGATGTTAAAGAATATATCAAACGAGCAAGTTTCTGTTTATTCATCTTTTTAATTCTTCATTTTCCCCCCATAAATTTTTAAAACCACCTTGATTTCAAACCCTAGTAAGAAATCACATATGTCATGCAACGCTCCTCCTGCCAAATCTCTCTCATTGTGGTATTACTGCAATATTTGTAACTTTTGATCTGGAAACATCAAGTTACGTAAGATCACAGTTCTGCTCCTTGCAAGGATGTGATTCTGTCAGAAAATGAACCAGTGAAGCGGGAGCTCGAACAGAACTGGAAATGACTTTCCCAGAGAAAAGGTAGTTTTTCTTAAGCATCCCAACTATTTTCAAGTGCGAGAACTCAATGTTTTATTCTCCTGAGCAGAGAAATGGTGAACGACCAGGTTAAAAATAATCAGAGCGGGCTCTTAATTGGAATAGTGCACATGTTGTAGAGGGAATGAAATAACATTTTAGTTATTATGCACTCCAGGAAACCAATCAAATAAAAGCAAAAAAAAAAAAATTCCTCGCTTTGTAAAAAACAAAAGAGAACAACACTTTCTCTTGACAGTATACTATCCCCTCACCAAAACAAAAGGAAGGCATCTAATTTAAATGAGTCAAGGAAAATAATTAAGCAACAAGGACTTCAAAACCCCAGTCTTAGCGTAAATCTCACTCCTTCCCCCAGATCCACTGAACCCAGAGCAATGTCTCCCTTTATCCAACCATGTAGTAAAATAAATCATCGAGGGGATATCTCCCCTCCCTCCCCAACCAAAACCAGACGAGTAATTTTAGTCTCTTCCCTCAATGATTCTTCCCTATCCTTTAAAATCAGGACCTCTTGGGAATAAAAAAAGGAAACTATGAAGTTAACTTGTGCACCTCTCTTTGCCTTTTCCCCCTTCCCCTGCCAAAGACCAGCCTGAGAACCTCTTTCCACACTGAAGATCCTCTTTCTCCACCAAAACATGACATTTTTTCTCCAAATCACACAAACAAATGACAAGATAAACTGAAATTCTCCCCTTGTAAAGATGTGCACACATGCACGCACGTATGTACGGGAAGGGAGGGTGAGGCACAGAGGCAGGAGTCCCTGCAGAGATACAGTACATCTCCGTGCAGCAATTCCCAATTCTGGTGATTTTTCAGCAATAAAAGGGGGAAAAACTGAAACAGATTTTCTGCAGAAGTGCAGACCCCCTTCCCAGAGGGGTCCAGTGCAGAGCAACGGTCCCACTGTCTGGGTGAAGCACAACCCAGGTAGCATTTCCACGTGCCTGGGAAACGCCTGGCCACACACCGCGACCTCACGCTCCCCTCCCCGTCCCCAAACCCGCTGGAAACCACCACAGACCCTCATTTTCCTTGCCCATGTGCTGGCTTGGGAGTCACATCCTTAAGGGATCATGGCAGTGGGGAATCCTTATGGCCACAAAACAGCTCGCACCAGCAAGGACTGATCCATCAGAGTGGCACAGGCTGGGAGCTGGGAACTGAGCAGGGAAGGGCAGCTCGCAATGGCCACAAACCAGCAAATTCCTACAGCATTGTCACACAGGCAAAGCCAAGCGAGCTGCTTTGAAGGCTTGTCTCGCTGCAAAACAGTGCAACAGAGACGCGTCTTCCTACCTTTATGCCTTCACACACACACGCACCATACTAAAAAAATAAATAAATAAATATATACACACACACACACACACACTCCTTGCTTTTTCCACCCAAGCCTATAAAAGTGCTACAGGCTGAGACACTAAGTGGGAGGCGCCTGGCTCTGAAGGGGCCAATGAAATAAATTAAATACAAATCACTGGCTCAGCCCCAGCTTCCCCCAGCAAACCGGGGAGATGTTGGGGTGGCTGGTGGCCGATACCCTGCCCTTGCCGGCCCCAGCGTGCAGCTGGCATACGCGGGCTGATGGCATAGTGCAGGGTAAATCTTGGGTTTTGCAGGCACATATGGCGCACATGTTGGGAGCAGAGCACTTTCCATAGGAGGGGAGGGGCCACCCTACTAGTAAGCAATTTTATTAGGGTCAGTGAAGCAGAAAGAAATTGGGTTGGGATAGACTGGGATCTGCCAAGTTCCCCTGCCCAAGCTCCTGAGCCCCAGAGCAAGGAGCAGCACACTAACAACTTGCCAGGCTGCAGCAGAAGTTTACCTATAAAAAGCGCACAGACAACTTCCAACTTCAGAGCTTTGCTCTCATTTTCTCATTTTCTGTCCCAAAAAAAAAAAAAAAAAAAAAAAAAAAGCAGCTGTAAATTCAGACTGCACTGCAAAAAGTTAAGAAGGAAGATGGGGTGGAGAGATTATTTTATGGTTTGATTCAGGGTTTTGCTGTTTGTTTGGTTTTTTTTTTATCATAAAGAACTGAACTTTCCTGTAAGAGCCATGAGCAAATGCATTCAAGACGCAGAAAGGTCTTGTCTATCTAGTCAATAACTATTTAGCTAGCTCTGTTTTGGCTGTATGAAAAACATATTTCAGACTCTATATCCCATAAGACAAGGCATAAATATGTTTGGTAGGTTTGGTGGGGTTTTTTTGGGGGGGTGCGTGGTTTTTGGTTTTTTTTTTTTTTTTAATCATGTGCTTAGATGGTTGTAAACACTGAATTTCTAAGCATGGTCATGGTAAGAATGAGTAAATACATACTGTTTCATTAATACTTTAAGCTTTTATTTTTAATTATTTTTTAAAGCTTTGACATGCCTTAACTACCACTTATTTCAAAGTAAACTATCCCAGATAATTTAGAAAACAAAAAAAATCAAAACATCTACCAGGAAATAAATGTCCTTTGGCAGCAGCCAATTTTATGTTCAGCAGCCAAAATTTGTATTTCAGAAAGCAAATTGCTTTGAATGTGAGCACGAGTCTGAACCACTGCATTTCTCCCAGGCACTCCAGCATCTTTTCTGAAACGCCACACTATTTGGGAGAGCTTTTAAGACTGGCAGGGCACGGCTGGAAGCAGGGCTTTAACATTTAATGCCTAAGAAACAGAATTGTCCCTCAAGTTGCAGTCAAGCGCATTTTTTTCTTATTTTTGTTGGAGACAAACCCACCCTCCCGTGGAAAATGGGAGACCCCTTCCCCATCCCTGAGTCTCTCACAGATCCGAATGTAAACAGACCCCCCCACACACACACAGACACACTCCCACCCTGCAGCAGGACATGGGAACGGGGCGGAGGGTTCAGACAGAGCAAAAGGAGCTTTGTGCAGCTCAGAAATACCGAGGCACTTTTTTTTTTTTTTTTTTCCCTTCGTCTCTCCCCCCCCCACTTTCCTCGCTTTTACTATTACATAAATAACACCGATTGATCTTAAAGCTGCATCCTTGCTCCAGTGCCTCTATATCTGCACTGATGCCTCCCCCCCCAGCACAGCCGCACCGCTCGGGGTGCAGAGGGAAGGGGTGGGGGGTGGGGGGTGGATGGGAAAAGCCACCCCAAACATACCCTGGAGCAAGGTCTTGCCAGGCTGAGGGTGCCTGGTCCCCACCGCCCCAGCCAAGAGCTTCCAGCAGCATCTTTGCCTCCTGCTGAATTTGCTGCAAACTGTGCGCGGAGGGAGCAGCAGGGCTAGGATGCGAGGGGAAGAAAAGCAATCTGGGCAGAGGGAAGGATATTGGGGAGGAAAAACCAGGGATTCAGGGAGCTTCTCCCCAGCCCCAGCCCGTGTGCCTGTCTGCTTGGTGGGAAGAGGAAAGGGGGAAGGGAAAACTGGAGGGAGGCGATCGAACAAATGCACTTTTCAGAGCAAAAAGCCGAGCTTACCATGTCTGCAGGCGTCCCCCCACCGAAATGCCACTTATGTGTCCAGCGATCCCAAAGTGGGCAACTACAGCCAGGCACCGGAGCTCATCTCAGCAGGCAGCTCGGCAATACACCACCGCCACCCCCAAAAATAAAAATCAAAATAAATTTAAAAGCAAACAAACAAACAAAAAAATAGAAGGACCGGTCCAGCTTCTTTCCTGGCAGGAATCGTCCCTGGTAGGACTGCCCAAAATAAGCAGCTGCAATCCAAAGGCTTTATTTAAAGCTTCCCCCCTCCTCCTCCTCCTCTCCTTGCCTCGCTCTCTCTCTCCCTCTCTCTGTTACACACAGAGAGAAAGAGAGACACACACAGGTTACATGAATGGGAGGCAGGAGCCGGCGCTCCCGGGCTGGGAATGACAGACACACATGGGCCGGCTGCTGCGCACCGCCGGCGGCTCGGCTAGGCTCGGCTCGGCTAGGCTCGGCTCGGCTAGGCTCGGCTTGGCTCGGCTCGGCTAGGCTCCGGGCATGGGGATGGCGTGCGGAGGGGATGGGCATGGCATGGATGTGGGAATGGGCATGGAGTGGAATGGGTATGGGGAGGAGATGGGCATGGATGTGGTCACGGCACAGTCATGGCACAGGCATGGGGTAGGGAGGATGGGACACATGGGTGTGGGCATGCCATAGGCATGGCATAGGGTGGGAGGGGACGTAAGCATGGGCATGGTATGGCCGTGGGCATGGGGAGGAGCTGGACATGGGCATCGGCATGGCATGGGCATAGGGGGACATAGGCACGGGACATAGGGACATAGGTATGGGCATGGGGCGAGCTGGGAATGTGGTGGCATGGGCATGCCATAGACATGGGGCAGGAGTGGATGTGGACATGGGCATGGTATGGACATGGGGAGGAGCAGGGCATGGGCATGGCATAGGCATGGGGCAGAGGGGATGTGGGCATGAGCATGACATGGGCATGGTGTAGTCATGCGGCACGGGTGGAGATAGAGATGGGCATGTCATGGACATAGGAACTGGGCATGGGCATGGACATCGCATAGGCATGAGACAGAGGAGGACACAGGCACTGGCATGGTCATGACATGGCGTGGCATAGTTATGGGGCAGGGGTGGACATAGGCATGGGCATGGCACAGCATGGGCATGGGGAGGAGTTGAACCTGGACGTGTGGAAGGGATGAATGGTCATAAGGAAGGCATGGGTATAACATGGGCATAAAGAAGGGATGGGCATGGTATAGGCATGGGGAGGGCATGGACATAGGCATGGCATGGGGAGGGGGTCTATGTGGACGCAGTGTAGGAAGGGGATGGGCTTGGCACATAGAGGGGGTGGACAGGGGCATGGAAAGGTCGTGGGTATGACATGGGCATGGACATAGGGATGGGCATGATGATGAGATGGGCCGGGTGTGGACATAAGAATTAGAAGGTATATGGGCAGGGGGGAGGATGTGCTTTGGAATGTGATAGACATGGATCAGGCTTGGGCATGGGTCAGGCATAGGCATGGAACAGGCAGGGGGATGAGATGGGATGGGCATTGGCTTCAGCATGTGAGTGAGGAGCGGATCGGGATGGGGACAAGGATGGGATGGAGAGCTGCCTCAGATGGTGCCTTCATCTCCTGGACCTGGTGAGCCTCTCTCTCCTTTTGGGGTCAGGTGGGCTCCAGCTTCAGCATGTTTGAGGAGGCAGGGGAAACCTCTGTTCCTCCCTTGCCCCTAGTTGTATAATGTCTTGCTTTTGGGGTCAGGGAGTGTCATCCACAGTGGTGTCAGGAGATTTCATTATTATTATTATTATTATTATCATTAATAATTATTTATTATTATTGTTGTTGTTGTTGTTATTATTGTTATTATTTACATAATTGTGGTGTTTGATAATTAAAATCAAATTCTCAGGAAGAAGACCTGCATGACTGCAGTTGCATCATTTAAGGCTACTTCTTCTTCGGGAGGAAGATCAATGCTACCAGTTTCTGCCTTTTAAATGTTTGTGGAGGTTTTGTTTTGTTTTTAAACTGTAGTAACAGGAAATTAAGGCTATTTAATGCTGCTATTCAACACTGTCTAAAGGGAAAAAGGGTTGTGGTGTTGCTAAGTGTCAGGCTCTGCTACTGCTTCGCTGTCCAACCTTGGGCAAGTAAGTCCTCAATAGCGTAGCCCTGCCAGGATTCATCCACTGTTGCCATTTACACTCAGCCTATCATTTGGTCATTCACCAGACAATCGCACTTTTCATTTTTCAAGTCCCTCCTCAAAATTTCCTCTTACAAAACTTTTCTGCAACAGTCTCTACATGGCTGATGTTGGCATCACAAATCTTGGAGCGATACAGGATTAGGCCCTAAAACTGCATTGTAAGAAGAGTGCTGAACATAATGGACTGCAGTACTTCATTCAGTGCTTTGAGCTACGTGGGAATTGTCCTCTTCATGGCATACCTTTAAATCAGCCAGGTGCAAGCCTGCTATGCTCTGCCTTATTTTTTTTTCTCGTCCTAAAATTTCCAGCCTTTGTGGAAAGCAAGAGGTAAGATTGTGTTTTATTCTAAACCCAGAGATCAGAGTAAAAAGACACACAGCAAATCAGAACATAATCTTAAACAGCAGAGTTCTTGATATAAAGGTCTGCTTTGCAAAATAGCTGCTGCTGTTCACTGTATTTTTCAGTCATATATATTAAAAATGAAATAAATTTGCATTGGCCCTATTGCCTCTGGAGTATATTCCACATCAGGAATCTAGATTCTAGACAAAGGTAATTTAGGTCCCTGGAAGGGCAAAGTTTAATTGAGAAATATATATATTGTTAGGAATAGACCTCATCCAAATTCAATGGTAATTGTATAAGCCTTTCAAAAATCATACAGTATGCAAGCTTCCAAAATTCCTGAACAAGAAACATTTCCATTTAAATGCCAAGAAGCAATTTTCCCTCTCTTGTTCAATACTAAATCAGTCACATGAGCAGTTTGCATTTGATTTTAGAAAGGAAATGGAACATCTTCACTTCCAATTGCATATAACTTTTGCTTTTTCTTGTTCTTAGTGCTCCTTACTTGTTTGCAGTACTTTCCTGCAGGTTTGAAATTCTTACATTTGAGCCGCTTGTTCTCTCCGGACATTTATTTATTAATTTTTTAAACTCCAGCAACGTTATTAGAAGAAAACTAGTAAACCCAAGTGTGGAGTAGAATGCTGTTTGTTTGAATTCTGGTTGGTAAATCCAAGCCTAACAGATTACCACCGTTTGGGTAACTTGCCTTTCTCTGTTAACTGAATTAGACAATGATGCTCTTAGAAATAATAATAAAAAAGAGAACAGTAGTAATTTAATGGGAAAAAAATTACTTTGCCTAGGAAAATCCCCCTGCTTCAACTCATGGTGAATTACTGTGGTTGCAGAAGTGTGCTGCATACCAATTTGGAGCCTATTTTATGAAGATAAAGGTTCACCAGCCTGCCATATTGTGCCAGTGTCCTGCACCACTGCAGTTCGCACAACAGAAACATTCCTTGTGAACGGAAACTATCCAGTCAAACTCTCTTCCAAACAGTGTTTTTGCAGAATTTGTAAAGAAGCTACATCTGTGGAAGAAGGTGGTGATTGAAAAGACTAATGCATGAGCCTATTAGACCTCGTGCGCTCGGAGAGCAAGAACAGCAAGTCCAGGAGCTGCCTCTCAAATTAGCACTTAATAGTCCTGATGTCAGGTTGTGTTTCCATGTTGACATTTGCTCCAAGAAAACAATGAAAACACCTATCTTAAAGTCCCCATTCATCAAGGAAGAAAAGTAGCAGCATCTGCTGTGGTCAAAGGTTTCTTGCTGAAGAAGTTCAGCAGCAGAAGTGTCTTTGGTTGGTTAGGTGAGCACTTTGCCAAGAGGTGCTGCACTAGTTGACAGCCACTGCTAAAGATTTTTTTTTTTTTTTTTCTGCTTCCAAGAGAGTAATCCAGAGGGAAAAACTCATATATTTTAATCAATGGAAGTGAAACCATTTGCCTTTCAGAGACTATAAAATAATACACACCCCAGGGTTCAATGCTCTTTTCTACTCCTCCAGAACATTCTTAAGGGGAAATCACTCTTTTCTTGATGAATGTGCAATTCAAATGTGGAAATATGCCATTCTTCATGCATTCTCCATAGGGAGCAAAACGATTTCTGTAATTAAACCCTTTTTGCCAACATTTCCTGATGAGAATAGCGCTTTTTTTTTTTTTTTCTGCTTCCAAGAGAGTAATTTTTTTTTTTTTTTTTTTTTTTTTTGACAAGGGGAAAAGCCACGTACAAAAAGGATTTGCAAAAACCAGGTCTGGAGGGTTTGACCTTTAAGCCTCAATTTTAATTAGACATTCTGGTTTAAAGGCACATGAGGATGAGGATGAGGCACATGAGTAAGGGCTGTAGCTCAAGTTTCCAGTCAGGCACTGCTGAAAGGCTTCAGGACAAAGGAAGATATGTGTAGCACTGTTAATGTTAGTCAAGCTATTAGGGATGACATTAGCACTGAAAACACACATCCCAGTCTTCAGTTCACTTTAGCAGCCCCAAGGGTGTAGCCAGGGTCCCCGTTGGGCTCGTGCTGAAGTCTGCACTACAGCATCATTGCTGCACCGGTTCCCATGGTAGCTAGATTGAAGAAATACAGTTTCTCTGATACGTATCAGACTGTCATGGGCAGTGTAGACAAAACTGGAGTTAAATAAGAAGTTAAGCATATGTGTGAGCTTTTGTAGGACTCAGAGCTGAAGGACATGTGTCTTGTCAGCGCGGAACGGACACAGAGTTCAGGATATGGGACAGAGCTTTTAGCCAGCTGCACAGCTGAGGGTTGAAACCTCATCTCTGTATTATGGATGGCAGGGCTGAACCAGAGCTAGATGCAGAGCTGAATCCTGAAGTTCTCACCCTGAGTTATATCTCTCTGCCAAAGATCTTGAGCAGGCTGGTGGAGCAGAAATCACAGGGGCTCTTTATAAAAAACAGGATTTCCCTCCTCTTCCTCCTCACTCCAAGGATGTTTACAGCTTAACTCAGTCTGCATTGACTCAGAGAGATGTCTCCACTGTCGGTATCATGAGGTGGACTCCAGAGCAGGGATGGAGAAGTGTTATCACTTATAAGGGTCTTTCCTTTTATTAGCTGACTTATAACAGGATGCTAAAGTCTGGAGGGGCTCATTCTATCTTGGCTGTGCCTCTTGTAGCATCTCAGCGGATCTCAGGGCTTAAGGAGGACAGAACTGAGCATCTACCCACAGTACTGGGTCTTATACCCCCTTT